ATAACTGATTTATGGACGTTAAGATATGGCGATTCATACATAGCTTTCACATTACAATTTATTGATGAAGATTTTATTATTGTTTTTATTATTGTCATGCACCACATGACAATAGATTATCAGTCTTTCTCTGGAAAATACAATGCTGCAGCTATTCATAAAAAATTAGAAAATGTCCTTTTTGGATATGTATGATGAAAAGAAATAGATAATTTCTGACAATGGAGCTAATAAGATGAAAGCATTTAGTAATAAATCTGTGTGCAATTTAGAGGTATTGAGATGACTTATGTTAAAATATCTTAGAAACATACTCTTTGTTATAATTATTACATAAGAAAAGAAAAGGATTTAGCGAGGATCGTGCGAAGTATAAGAAGAAGAAGGGAGCTGATTAAGATTCTTTGATTAATATAGTAGATAATAAAATAAATTATATATTTCTTTACATTTGCAATTTTTGGGAATTTGTTTCTATTATTGCTTGTTTATATATTTTTTTGTTGTTCCTCTTAAAAGGAGTTCCAGAATGGATGGTCGAGTGCCAAGTAGAAGCACGATTTGATTGAACCTTTTTGTCGGTCCTCAGTGGGCTTATCACTAAAGGAAATGGTATATTTATTATATATACATATTATCAGTTGTGCAGTAAGGGATTACTGCGGATTTCCTGTGTAAACAGCCAGCAGTATTTACATAGTCTTGTTCGCATTAAATTTTCTTATTTGCGCATTCGTTTTGATTTATCGCGCTTTGCGTTACGGCATTATCTAAGAAGTATACGATCATCGCGGCATTGGAGAGAAGAGATGATGATTATTAACATAATTTAATGCGGTTCGTTAAGAATAAGTCCCTCTGTATTAATAAATAGTGTCGGTTCATTTAATTCATGAATTTCATTATTCTACGATATCCAATTTAAATATCGTAGAAAACATTGGTTCTTCGAGCCGGATTGACACCAAATAAGAGAGGAGATTAGTTGCAGTCGTCGATCACAACAAATGGTCGGTCGAACGCTCATATCTCAGACAAAAGCGAGCTTTGGCAAGTACAAGCACTATTTTGTGTTGGAAGCAGGATGATTTGCTGGTCCTTGGGAAAACGATAGAGCACCTTTCTCGTTTTCCTCATGCAGCGAGATTGGCCTCACCTCCTTGAAAAGCAGCAACAAATTCTTCTCGCTTGCGAGGGTCTGTCGACCATTCAAGAGACGCACTTCTCTTTCTCTCTCTCTCTCTCTCTCTCTCTCTCTCTCTCTCTCTCTCTCTCTCTCTCTGGCGCTTGAAGGCGAGATAGCCGATTAAAAACGGTATCAGCATTCGACTAGCATAACGGAAGAAACGGTCTCCTTCATTCCTCGATAGAGCACTCCTTGAAACAGAACCAACTATCGGCAAGCTAACGCTTAAAAGGGGATTCCCGTCTGTCTCTCTCTCTCTCTCTCTCGCGCTGGCAGTGCGCTGGCACCACGTCACTCTATTCGACATTTCATGGAAGCAGGAGGTTGATGAACTTGGGCAGCAATATACGTGCTGGAATTCAATGAGCGCAAATAGATTAAGAATAAGCGATTAAGAAGAATAAGTTGTCATTAAACTTATTTTTGAATATTTGTATTTTAGAAAACATTATCAGAGTAAAATGGCTACATCTGAATTAAGCTAATTGGTTAACAGTCGGGGAAGAATTAAGGCGAGATTGACAATACTATCTCGACAATAATATCTCGAGAAAGCGGCGACATATTCTGCCAAACTCGCAGAATTGCCTAGCAGATTAGAACTGACTAAAAAGTTCTGGGAAGAGTTTGATGGTATTCAAGATAAAATCGAGGAATTAGATGCGGAAATGCAGCTCCGTGATAGAGAAAATTTTGAAAATTTGTATTATTATAACCTCAGACAAAGCATTTCAGTCACGTCTAAAACGAGCAAATCTATCGAATCCAACGAGTTCTACTTCCGAAAATTCAATAGGAGATCAACAAATTATCGTTAATCAACCAATCACCATAAAATTATCGGATGTAGAATTGCCAAAATTCGATGATAGTTATAATAAATGGATTTCTTTTCGCGAACTATTTGAATCTCTCATAGATGCCGATATTTCTTTACTAGCGGTAAAAAAGTTGCATTATTTGAGGCTTGGATTAATTGGCGACGCTGCTATAGTAATAAACATTAGAGATTACAGGCGATAATTATGTAATTGCATGGAACTTATTAAACACAGATCCGAAAAACGATTAAGGTTAGTGGAACATCACTTGCAAGAGTTCCTCGATTTGATGCCTTTGAAGAAGTCTCACATAGCTTTAAGACAGTTTATTGATAATATCTCTCAGCATAGTCAGTCATTAATTAAGTTAAGACAATCAGTTGAGCACTAGGACACAATTTTCATTCATATTCTTGTGCTTAAATTAGATAAAAATACAAAAAGAGAATGGAAGTTAAAAGGTACTAAAATAAAGTTTCCGAAGCTTAAAGAGTTCAGAATTTTTGTCATTGTCTCATAATGAGATAATGTAAGTTCTGTTTCCGGTACCAACAAATCAAACAAATCCATTACCTGCGCATGCGTGTCTGACGAAACCTCGAATTGTCCTATATGTAAAGGTCAACATAAAGTCTATGATTGTAATACATTCTGTAAGTGATTGCTATCGATTGTTGCATTAGCAATGAATTTGTATTTTTAAAACAGTGAATTGTTGTTTTTATAGCAGTAAATTATTCTTTAAGCAGTAAATTGTTTTTAAAGCAGTGAATTATTTTTAAAGCAATGAATAGTTGTTTTTAGAGCAGTGAATTGTTTTTAGAGCAGAATGAATTTTTTTAAAGTAGTGAATTGTCGTTTTTAAAGCAGAATAGAGCTTATTATTTAAAATGTATATCTTTTTGATTTTTCTTATATGAATTAAAATTATACAAAATGTTACAAATGTTTCATTATGTATCATTTAATTCATTAATTAAAGATATTATCTCATGATTTAAATAATTAAACCTGTATTGAATCGCACGTTTTCCGTTCTTTTTGTATATGCTTTTTTTAATGTAAAGGATAAGTAAAAAAAATCTTCCGATATTGCATTTACAAAAGAGAAATTAAGAGAATCATTCGTTTAAGTTGCGATCCCAGAACAATTTTCGGATAAATCTTGGCTATAATTTTGCATGTCCAACTACATCTTGGGTTTTTATTCAGTTGCAAGCCAAGGATTTTTATTCAGTTGCAACAATGTTCACGAAAACGAGATCGATCATCTTCTCGCGAGGAACTTCGCGAAGCCGATCTTATTATAAATTAAATCGCGTATCCATGAAACAAATCAGTCGAGTGACATTATCAAGAAAAAATACATTATTTTCTTGTACCCTGTGTATTACGCGAGGAATTATGAAAAAAAGATCTGAGAAAAAGAAAGAAAAAATTAGCTCCGACAGACGTCGACTCGTCAAGGAATTGCACGCTCCGACAAGAAGATATTTTCCGCGAAGGCGTGTCATAGTCCGGGGATACGACGATCTGTGGCAGGCTAAGTCGCTGGAGTGTTTTACGAGCACGAGTTGCATCGCGCTATTCATCCGGACGTGTATCTCGTGGAGAAAGTACTGCGCAGGAAGAGAGACAAAGTGTACGTCAAGTGGTTGGGATTTGATCGCACAATTCATGGATACACAAAAACAATGTTATTTGATAAAATTTGATTCATATATTTTATTTCTACATATAAAAAATATATCAATATAAGTATATAAACGTGTAAAATATATTTTTTTTATTATCCTTTCCATCTTTTGAAATATACAGATATAAATGTACGATACATGAAATGAAAAATAATAGTGATACATAATAATGACACTACATAAAACATATTATACATGAAGTACAAATTAAGAAAATTGTAATACATAATAATAATATACATACACTGCATTAAAATATAAAAAAAATGTAAAAAAACATAATAGTAATATAAATGTTGATACATATACAGTACCAGTCAAAAATTTAAACTCACCTCTATATTATTATTAATAATAATATTTTATATCAATAATCAAAATTTTTAGCATCAAATGTTAGTTAAAAATTTCCGGTGTAAAGCAAAACGGTCGCTGAATTAAAAATTACCATAAAAATAATTGGAATTATATAACTTTATTTAGATTTTAGACTCTTCAAAATAGCCTCCTTTAGCTCGCAAAACAGCTGTACATATTCTTGGCATTCTTTCTATCAATTTCTTCAAAGTCAGAGTGGAAATTTCAGTCCAAGGTACTTGCAGGAACTCCCACAGTTGGTTTTGATTCATTGGTCTCATTTTTCGCACGTTTCTAACCAATTCATCCCACAACAGTTCAATTGAGTTTAGATCAGATGATTGAGGGAGCAAATTTATGTATTTTAACTCTTTTTGCTTTTCTTTGTTGTTAATATAGTTTTTGCATAATTTTAATGTATTTAGGATCATTATCCTGTTGGAAAACAAACCACGACCAGCTATTTTCTTTCCAGATGGAAAAGCATGGAATTTTAAAATACTGTGATATTGCCGTTGATCCATAACCCCTTCGATTTTTACGAGATCGCCAACTTTTTCTCTAGCAAAACATCCCCATAACTGAACCACCTTCATGTTTCACGGTTGGTACCATATATGCTCTTTTATACGTTCGCCGATCTGGCGACGAACATACTTCCTACGTTTTCCTCCAAAAAGTTCGAATTTTGATTCGTCTATAAATAATACTTTTTCCCATTAATTGACCAGGTGATTAATTGACCAGGTTTTATGTTTTTGTCCCATTGCAATCTTTTGACTTTATTTTGTTTAGCAGTGATTTTCTAGCAGCCACACATCCTTTTTAATCCATGATCACGAAGTCGACATTGGATAGTCGTTACAGATACAGGCTTCTCTCTGGTAGCATTCAGTTCTTCGCGAATTTCTGGTGCAGTACGAAGTCGCGAACGCTTACTTTGAACACAGATGAACTTATCTTCACTTTTTGAGTTACTCTGGGACTTCCAGAACAATGGTGACTAGTGTTTAACCCGGTTTCTTGCTTTCTTCTTAACGTCCTCACAACTGTAGTCTGAGAAATCTTTTCGAAGATATTTGTCGTGAAGAATATCCTTCTTTATATAGTGTAATTATAGCACGTATTTCTACGTTTAATTCTTTTTTTCGACCCATTCCGTGTACTATAAACGGAAGAAATAGTAATATAAATAACCCTTATGGTTCTATGGTTTTTAATTTTATAAATATAATATGTGTTTTCAATTGTAAATTTCCACTAGAAATATAACTGAGCTAATTAAACTTACCTTAAACAAAGAGAATAAAGGATAATTGATAATAATAACACATTGAGAACTGAACAGTAACGCAGCCTAAAACGACGCGCATAATGTAAACAATCTTTTCGAAATAGTGTAAACGTGAACAAGTGGATATTAAATAGCATGTATCAACATTTTGATTGATATTCAAATGTTCCAATATCATCAAACTCAATGTTTCAATTGACATTCAATGTTTCAATACTGTTAAAGTCAATGTTATTTACAAAAATATATCATTTCAAACGCTGAGTCTAAACTTTTGACCGGTACTGTATTACAAAGATATCCAAATGCCCCCACGATAACGTCTCCATCGAGTCCGGTATCGTTTGTCGTCATATGGACTCAGAGCGATCTTCGATTCGGATATCATGTACATCTCATGTAATTTAGATCAACAGCGATACATGATTGACGGCGAGTCATTTCGATCTTTTCGTTCAAACACCGCATGTAATCGTCGAATGTTATCGCATTACTCTTTATGTCGTAAAAAAAGGCGCCTTTCGCCTTTTTAGTTTCTTTCTTGCCGTCCATTCTTACCGCGTACATCTTCGCTCTGAGACCAATTCAATCATTATCGCACCGTTATTTTCATCCTTCATCAGACCGGGTACTTTTTTGTTCGCGAGAGGCACATCATACGTGTTGTCCGCCGGATAATCGCTCGTGTCGAATCTAGCGATATCGCGTTTCATAATCTTGTAAACATTGCATTCTATATGGTAAATGAAACTGCCTGTCGGTGTACATAATTTTACATTTGTCGCGAAATAGTGGTAACATATACTCGTGGTGAAATTCATTCAAGACTTTCGATATGTCAAGTACACATACCCACGTAAATTGACTTATTGAACTTTACTTCGAGTTTGCGGTTCTACAGCGATCAAATTTTCCGCAAAGACGCTACGGCTGTGGAAATTCGGTTTTGCAGTCATTGCCTCTGCATCGTACCGTCCCATTTTGTTACTAATTTTACATCGTGATTTCGAACATTCTCCATAGTTTTACCGAATACCGCGTTCATTAATTTATATAAATTTTTCTCGAAATCATTTTTTGCGCAGGTTCTGAAATTTGTATTGAGTTCAATGTATTCGCGGAGATGGAGATTGCGCGAATTGTAGCACCTGATGAATCTTTGTTACGCGAAGACCGTGACGAGTACATTGCAAGTTCGATAGTGGATGATGTAATGCTGCTTATCATATAGCGTCGCTAGAAGTTTATCCTCGCGTTTGCCGAGCGGCTATCCCACATCGGACAGAAAGGTAGATCAGTATGTTGATCGTGTAGATGCTGTAGATACTCAAGATCAACCTCGAGAATGTAATCAATGGATGAATCCGAAGCGATCACGCTCACGTCAAAGTTCATAGCGTCTTCGATCCATCGAAATTCGGCGTACGACAATGATTGACACATCGCCCGTATAAATTGTTAACATCAAGTACGACGATGATTTCGATGAGTCATACGAATGCATGTACTTGTTATTAATCTGCGCGTATCTGCTTGAACATTGACTAAAGCCGCCGTGTATACCGCGCTTGGTGAACATGATCGTATCAATGTCGGTGAGTACTCAAACTTTACGCGCGTATATTTTAACATCGCGTCCCACGAAACCAAGCAATGCGCAGTAATGCGTGATCGAGACCATAACTCGACTGTCGCGGAAATTTTCGAAAATGTCCAATAACAAGACAGTTTTCAAGTACAAATCACTGTCCGAGCGTTCAGATGGAGAATCGCTTCCAGACGTTTGCGGCGTGAACGTAATCGTTCTCGGATATTGTATTGCCTATCGACGAACTGTAAAATAATTCGCGCGGTGGTAAGCGCATGTCCTGCAATTTTTCGATGCAGTAAACGTACTCGTACGGAAGGAGTCAGTAATTCAAATTCTTCATCCGATAGTGTTAAAAATTTGGAACGTATGATTTTTAATTTGTCTTTGCTTAGAAACGACGCCAATTTATCGAGGCTTGTATTGAGAAATTTAAATGAATCGATGAATCGTAATTTTATGCATTTTCGCGAGTCTGTTCTCTTGGTTATATCTTTAACATGTTTAGTGAACGAAATATATTTTTCTTTGGTTATCGGTAACACATCTACATGTCCTTCGTACGCGGTAACAATTTCCTTAATTATAAAGCGTGCGCCGTAACCCGATAAATTGTGAAAAACGATCGAAATATTTAATAAATTTTTATAATTGCAATTCAAATGCGCTGGACCACGGTATCGTCCGATGAGATGGCAGATCACGGATCCGCGTGTCGTCCGCGAATGGTTTCTCGCAAATGTTATATCGCGTTGCTGTATGCCTCCCATTGCTGTTTCCATGGCGGATATAATGTTTTTTACACGATGTCCAAGTCTTTCGTCGGAGTTATCGCGCGAACCGTACATTATACAATCTTCGACGGAAGTGATATAACGCGTCATCATATGAACAACGCACGTATCCTGTACTAAATACCTCGTGCTGTTGATATGACGCATCTCCCCTGTCGGGTTTGTTTTCCGTAGAACACACTTCAAGTTAGTTTATGATGAATGGGACGCGCTCCTTATTGCAGTGGTTCCCAAATTCGACCCACTTGTCATCCACGCTCGGCAGTTGGATGATTTTCGTTGATTTTCTGGTAGTCCATTACGTGCGACTGCAATTTTTCGTTACTCAAGTAATGAAGGCACCTGTAAATAATAAAAATTATTTTTCACTACTTCTTTTTACTATTTCTGTTTTTTTTATTGGCTTTTCTTATTATACTTATCGATCGCAGGAAAATTTCTTGTTCTTTTTCCCACTAATCTACGAACTCACGAGACGGGACAGATTTTTTTATTCATGCAAAATGTCCAACACCATCGTTGCGTGGATCTTGTATGTACAGCATGTTGACGTGTTTCTCTTTCTTGTTACTGTTAGCCGCAGAGGAAGGACTTGTTTATTCTCGATGTTGTACGTTGATCGACACCGCGTTCGAATTTAGAAATGTCTTTATGTCATTTTAAGAAAATTAGTATTATAGTAATTCATTCTACTTACGAAAGGATATTAACACATAAATAATAATATAATAATATAATTTTGAAACATGTTTGAAACAAGAAATACATATAGATATCAATTTCACGTATAACTCGCTTTTAATTTGGTAATAAAGTTCTTAATCTGCAGACGACATGCATTGTTTCTAAAAACATTTACCAAATAAAAAATATAATATTCACATTTCTATATTTATGAGAATCAAATATAATAAAACAGTATATTAAAAACAATAATCTTATGTTAAATAATAATAACTGCTAATATCGTTGTAATAAATTTTAGATTCTATAATTACAGTGAAAAGATTTAAGAGCACCTCATAGAAAAATATTTGTTTGTATTTTATGAAAAATATTTGTGTGTATTTCATATAAATTATGTCAATAATAAAATTATATCAATAATAATAAAATAATATTAATATAAATTATGTCAATAATAAAATAATAACTCGAATATAATATAACATTTCCTTAATTTGCGAAAAAAAGTTTATAATTACAATAAAATATTTATTTGTATATATAAATCA